CCTGGTTGAACTCGAGCACGTCGAGCAGGTCGAAGAGCTTGCGGTTCTTCTCGTTGTCCTTGAGCTTCACGTAGTACTGCTGCAGACCGTGCAGGGTCAGCTTGGTCTCGTCGTCCACAAAGATCTCCATGGGCTGTTGGGGGGCAGACCCACACCTCAGACCCACAGCGACCCATAGGGACCCACAGGAACCCACTGGGACTCACAGGGACCCACAGGAACCCACAGGAACCCATAGATATCTACAGGGATCCATAGATGTCCATGGGGATCCATAGATACCCATGGGGACCCGAAGATCTCCATGGGCTGTTGGGGGTCAGACCCACACCTCAGACCCATAGCGAACCACAGGGACCCATAGGGACCCATAGGAACCCACTGGGACTCACAGGGACCCACAGGAACCCACAGGAACCCATAGATATCTACAGGGATCCATAGATGTCCATGGGGACCCATAGATACCCATGGGGACCTAAAGATCTCCATGGGCTGTTGGGGGTCAGACCCACACCTCAGACCCATAGCGAACCACAGGGACCCATAGGAACCCATTGGGACTTACAGGAACCCATAGGAACCCATAGGAACCCATAGCAGCCCATAGATATCTACAGGAATCCATAGATACCCATGGGGACCCAAAGATCTCCACGGGCTGTTGGGGGTCAGACCCACACCTCAGACCCAGAGCCACCCATAGGGACCCACAGGAACCCATAGGGACCCATAGAGATCCATCGGAACCCACTGGGACCCGTAGGGATCCATAGGAACCCATGAGGACCCATGGCCTGAGCAAGGTCAGCTTGGTCTCCTCATCCACAAAGACCTCCATGGGCTTGAGGGAGGAATATAGGGGTCAGACCCACACCTCAGACCCATAGAGACCCATAGGAACCCATTGGGATCCATAGGAACCCACAGGAACCCATAGATATCCACGGGAACCCATGGGAATCTACAGGGATCCACAGGAACCCATGGGGACCCAAAGATCTCCACGGGCTATTGGGGGGCAGACCCACACCTCAGACCCACAACAACCCATAGGGACCCACAGGAACCCATTGGGATCCATAGGGACCCATAGATCTCCACAGGAATCCATAGGAACCCATGGGGACCCAAAGATCTCCACGGGCTGTTGGGGGTCAGACCCACACCTCAGACCCATGGGGACCAAGAGGCGGAGCCAGGGGGCGGGGCTAGCAGCCAGGGGGCGGGGCTAGCAGCCAGGGGGCGTGTCCGGGGGCGGGGCTTACATCCTGCATGAACTTGCGGCACACGGGGCGGATGTCGCGGCTCAGCGTGGGCGGCACAGGGG